CACACCAGCGTGATCGCGATTCGCATTCTAAAAATGCAAATGCATGCATCTACGCGCTTCCCAGGAAAGCGCTGGTGTCCTATCGGCGATCTCTGATTCATTCGTCAATAAAGAGTAATTGGTAAGGTAAACCTAGTTAATCGCGTCAGCAACGATAAATCCGTTAGCAACTATTATCAGATGAAATCAAGTTGCTCGCATTACACTTGCTTGAAAAGCGTAAAGTGTTGCAAAATTCCTCATCGTCTTCGGCAAATATGGAATTTCTCGACCGGTGGAAGACCTATTCGCGCTTTCACGTGCTCAAATAATTGTTATTTGAGCACGTGTTGATACTTCGCACGCGCGCCTGACAATTTGCTTATATCTATATATTACATGCACGCACACGCTCTTTACTGATTAGATAAGTTCATCTTACCCGGTGATAATCCTTGTACTTGAGAAGAATCAATTTTAAATATGATTACGTACAACTTTTGCAAAATGAGACTCAGACGTATAATCTCGATTTCTTCGAGCAAAACAATTTTATTATTAAGAGATAAAATATATATGTATATTACTACCTTTAAACTCCTTGTGCTTAAATCATATTCAAATCCTACTCTTTTTTTCGCTACACTAACGCGTACGGTTTAGGTGTGTCAATGTCACGTTAAATATAGTTCATATTATCACCAAATGATATAGTAATCTGATAGATAAAGTCTAATAGTACGTTATCAGTAATTATTGAATTATGCAACGTCCAGTGATCAAGTACATCAAGGAATTCATTACAGTGATGTAATAATTATTCGTCACTCGTTTGTTTGCGCTCCAACGCGGCCAGGAGAAATTTTATGCGATGCCGTCAGTCAGTGCACCACCAGACACTGTTAGTCATTGTATATAGAGGCTGTCGATCGCAAATCAACCAAATGCTAGCCAATTCAGAGTTATTCCTCTGATCGCTATCTATTTATAGTTACATTCTAATGCAACGAAGTGCTATAAATTGATCATTTCTTATTGTTTCTGAATTTTTATTTCATGTATATGCATATATATGTTTATGTGTGTTGAGATAGCTCTCAATCACACATCCATATATACATATATATTTATATAACACATACAAAATTGTTGCAAATCATTGTTGGTTAGATATTATTAATTAACGCTCTTTTCGCCGACAAATTAAAGGGTAACACAATTTGTAAAGAGAAAGTACGCGCAGCCATGTTAATAAATTTATTTTAAGAGCTGCTTATGTGGGTCACCCAAATGAGAAACATGATGAATGTGTATACACGTATAAGTTATGGATTGCACTCTAAACGAATGACACGAATGTTTAAACGTTCGGCGCTGGTGAACGGCTATTTCTATCTCTCTTTTGCAGTCGTTCTTTCTCGAGCCTTTTCTTCGTCAGTTCTGTCTTGCGTGAAACCGAGTAATGAAGGATTTCTTATTTTAATAATTATACGCAGATTGATCTACTGAAAGAAGAAATACATTTGTAGTGATAAAATGATTACTGCCGGTAAATATATTTTTGTTTAAATTTACACACGATGTGCTACATTAACTGACATTTATTAGAAACTACGTTCAAATCGGAGATATAATAATGAAAAAATAATATGTAGAAATAAACTATAGATAGAGTATGATCACGATGCCCCATGGCGATCTAGAGAAATACAAAAAAAGAATTATGTTAATTACTTTTAGCTCTGATCCATCGCGTTTGTTTCGTTCACATTACTGCCAGTACAATCCTTCTGTATTATCTCAAAGAGCGGCTGCAGTTCCGGCGTGGCTTTGATCTGCGCGACAAATTCGCTCAATGATGGATTTTTATCTGCAAATAAATATATGTCGTAACTTTTAGGTTAATTAAATTAAAATTATTTTCGCCTAATTTAATTTCATTCAAATTCATTTATCTACTATTATTGAACAATAATTCCACACACCTGCATCAGGAATAGTTAGTAACGCTGCAACAGCTCGCAGCGCAGAGCGTTTCAATTCGTCTTGCTTCTCATATTCTTGCTTCACCGAGTTTGCCTTTACTTTCATTGTGCAAGTATTCTTCAAAGGCTCCACTAGTCGCTCCAACCCTGAATAATAAATATTAGGATTATTTTAGGTAAATATTAGACGGACGTTCTTCAATATTTAGAGTAGATATCGATACAATCTCAAAATATTAATATATATGATATAAACGAACGAGCGAGAGCGCAATACTCACTTTGTAAGACCGCGGTCGGACACAATTGCGCGAGTCGTGCTGTCATTAGGTAGGTCAGCATTTTAATATCGTAATGGTCTCTGAGTCCGTTCTCCACGTGATTGAGGAACTCGAAAACGTCCAGTCTGTCGAGACACGAATCCAGCAAAGTGTACATGCATTCAAATGCAGCCTTGCGAAGATCCAATCCATCGTCTACTGTGTGCTTGAATGGGCCCATCTCAACTTCCCTTATTAGCTCTTTCTGAATAAAGTAAATTCGTCATGTTATAACTTCGAGTTAACTTGAACTCACTTTCAAATTTAAAATCAAGCTCCGAATGTCAATTTTAACTAACCTTGATCTTAGTTTCCGTGTAAAGATGCGGTAACACCACGTCCAACAGATCTCTTATCAGCATAGGTTTGTTATGCGCCGCGGAATTGAACGCGACTAACGCTACCCTTCGCACGTTGAGATCAGGATCCTCCAAAGCGACTAAGAAATTGCCCATACATTGTTTCAGCATGACATCGATCGGTTGTGGCTGTAATGCATATAGTATTAAACATGCGCGATATATGCACGACTGATGTGATTATTATGTAAAATACCTGATCGGAAATGGTGAATTTGACCGCAGTGACCGTTGTTGTTCTCATGAGCGCCGATGGCGACTTGAGAGATTCTTGTAATCTTGGCAATAGAGTAGCGGGATCGATCAACGTCAATTTACCGAGACATTCGGCCACGACATTACGGGTACCCTCTTCTGTACATTCGCAATGCCTGTACAAGAGCATCCAGATCGAAGGCACGAAATTCTGCAAGTGTGACACGCCAGATGGGCTAGCCGATTGGCTCGTGATTATCTGGGAAAAAAAAAGGAAATCTCGCTTAGAAATAATTTTATACTTATATTTATTTATATCTCTATATCTATTTTGACGAATTTCGAATTGACGCGATTGTACGACAATCTTTACCTCCTTCAGCGAGTGTAAAAGTAGATACTGCCGTTTAGGCTGTGCCTCAATCTCTTGAAGTATGAAAGGCAGATATTCGGGGAGATTTCCAATCGCGATATTTCCCAAAGTATAACTGGCCGCAGATTTCACCTCTTCCGAGTGAGACGAGAATGAATTTAGAATTGTGTGTTTCAGCGAATTAATTCCACTCAGGTCCCTGTAAAATTGGAGCTTGTAAGTATTTTTTTTTTACAAGGCTGGTCACAAAGAGATCTACACTGTTCACTTACACGTGTCTTCCGATCTCGCCGATGACCAGTAGGGCGAATATGTGTTGTGCGACATTCTGAATGTCCGATGGATTTTGAACGTCCTTCAGTAACTGCTGCACGATGCACTGCGCCTCTTCGTGCCACGTGATTGTGAGTGCAGCTGCACACTTTGCGAGCGAGTGATAAGCCTGTTTGTGGAGTACGGATTGTGTGACCGGTACTATTAGCATTGCGAGCAGATCTCTGTACCCGAGACCCGGCAAATTCGCCTGTACCAAGGCTTGGAAAAATTCGAGCATTGAATTTAATGCAACACCTGTTGGGCAGAGAATCGTTGCAAGTTTATTTTGAGATATTTAATTTGCATAATTTTTTTTTACAAAGCAGAACCACGTACCTTGAAGAAGCGGTGATTTCACCAGGACGAGTATTTCTGGCAAGATATGATCGGAAACCCTGGTGAGAGCAGCTGGATGTAATTTTGCAATGGTGGTAAGAAGATTTAGCGTCAACTGCGCAATATGCAGATCTGACTCATTCAATAGCGCGGGTAGCTCCGCGGTGACCTGCAGAAATAATCGGAAATGATTATGACATAATAATGATTGTTATCGGAATGATAGGACGGCTCACTTTACGCATTATGCGTATGCAAATACTCCATTACCTTATCAAGTAAATCTGGGTGCAAAGCTGAACTGTAATTGCACACCAGTGTATCCAGGAGAGGAAGAGAGGAAAGTTTCAAAGCCCGTTGATTTTTCCTTAAGAAAGATCCAAGAATAGGTATTGCCTCTTCCTATAAAAAGCAAGTGTCTTGTAGCGAGGAGACTGCACAAGTTTTCTTAACGCACATAACTGTGCTTTAAACATTTACCATGATAGGTTGCAGATCGACTCTGAGTGGAGATGCAGCTATGCAAGTTAGAGCCTTGACAGTGGTGAGCCTGGTTATCTCATTGCGCAGCCTGTCCAAGAAAATGGGCAAGCATACGTGTAATTTGTCCGATAGAGTGTCGCCGAAGTGCGCGAGGATCTGTCCCATACAGGCGATAGCTCTCTCCTTCACCTCCTGGTCTATGTCCGCCGTTTTGAGCCTCATCAGCGTACAGTGATATATTTCGTTGGACAACGAAGTGAAGCCGCGATAAAAAGGTTTATCTGTAAGCGTCGAAAAATCTGTCACCGTTTCTATATCGACATGTAAAAATTAAATAACAGAAATTGCCAAATTAAATATGACTCACCATGAGGTCTGATTACTTGTACGAGCTGCTGCAACACGAGCAACGCTTCGGCGGCGATCTTGTAGAATGGATCTCCCACAGCTAATATGATCGGAGGTGCCAAAACCGGCATGTGAACATGGAATGCTTCGGGTTGATGCGTCACCAATAACGTGTGCACAAATGCTAAAGTATCGATCTTCATGTTGGAAGAAGAGTTCTTGTCTCCCAGAGAGTATTGTATGCCAGGGATTAATGCCGGGATGTGATTAGTCAAAGCACCGGGTAAAACGAGAACCAGTTCTTTTAGCAGAGAGAAGCAATCTTGTCTCGTTTTAATGCTCTTTTCCTTCATTTGGCGATGAACTGCTTTTATTATTAGCGGTACTTGTTGCTGCAATAATGATACCGGTCCATCGTCATCTTCCATCGCATCAGGATCGAGCGATACTCCAGTGGCTGGCCTGGTTTGCCTCAATAAAGCGATATATGCGTGAAAGATATCGGATTTAACATTCTCTTCTCGTTCTGCAATATTATATGAATTCGTGAATATTACGAATTGTATTAATCACTAAATAAGAATTTTTATTACTGTATTTCACATCTTCGTAAATCAATTTTAGAAATCGATACTTGCCTTTAAACCTAGCGATTAACGCAGGCGAAACCCCTTTGTAAAGTTCTGATAGCAACTCTCTTCTACTAGATACAACAGCTTCCAAACACTTGGCAGCCGCTCTACGTACTTTCCAGCTCATGTCATCGTCGTCAGAATATTCATCTTCCGCATCTTCCTCTCCGTCTTCTTCTACTTCCATCGCAGCACCCTCTCCATCAGAATAATCGTTGATATCGTCGTCATAATTGTAATTTGGATCGTATGTAATATATACTAAACAAATCTCTATGATCTAAAAAGTTCAAAAATTTTATTTAGTGACGCATAAAATATATCTGTATAATGTAAGATTGGATTGAAATTACATACTTTATTTATGTGAGGTGTGATTTCTTTTGGACATCTATAAACAAAAGACTCAAATGCTTGCAGACAATATTCCCTCAATTCATCATCATCTTCGTTACTGTACTGTACGATCAGTGGCATAACACGTTCTATTTGTTCACCGAATCTATGACCTGCTTGTCGACTGCAATAAGTACAAGTTAAATCACGTGACACTGTTAAATTATTCAAATATAATATAAATTACCAACCAGATAGAGGCGATGCATTGAATATAGGTACGTATAACATTCTTTGCCGTTTGAGTTTGAAGGCCCTCGAGAAGATGGTCAAGCAATTTGTTATATAAATAATTATTGCTAGATGTCAACAAATGGCTCAATGCTACAATAGTGCGCTTGCGAACAGCTTGCCGCGGCGAGGAAAGCTGTGGCAATAGTGCAGCTAGAATTGTAGAGTGAAATGTAACGAGCAGAGTGCCAAATCGAGATAGTAAATCAGCAACAATATCGAGAGCTTCGAGCTGTACAGACACATCCTCTTGCTGGAAATACATTATATACAAATATATTATTAATTAGAAAAATTGACCTGGTTTCCACTAATGTCAAGCAAAGATAATTTACCTTTTCAATAGCACTGCTTAATTTTCCTGTAATACGTCTACAAACATTTGCCACTAATGCACTACAACCCAGGGGAAGCTCGGAAATAACAGTCTTTAAGCCGATGCTAGAAATATCGCGAAGCTGCTCCTTGTCCGATACCATGTTGGTACACAGAGCATCCACGATAGTTTCCACTTGGTAATCCTTTACTTTGTTAACTAATGGGCCCAAACTAAAATTGTACGTATTTTTGTAATTATATCTTCAGACACAAAAAATGCTTGGAATACAATAAAAGACAGAAGTACACGAATACAATAAGAGACAAATATTTGCAATTTTTCACATTGCATAATAAACCCCATTTTGTTCATGTTAATAATTTACATAAGCTTGGGCTATTAGTTAAAAAAATTAGTATGTAAGATGCATAAATAATTTATAAAAATAACATAAAAAACATGCTATAATTTGTTTCATAATATTTAGACAAAGGAGTCTACCATTTGACGGCAAGATTCTGTACTTCTCCATTTTTATCCTCCAATAATTTAAGAAGCATTTTTACAACTTTCCGCTCGGAATCATCATCTAATTTGATGCTGTCTTTTTGTAGTTCACTCATTAAATCATTAGTAGCCATAAATCTGAAATCCTTATCGCTGGACGTCATCTATAAAAGAATATAACTATAGTACTACCATATAGTAATAAAAGAAAAGGAGTAAAAGATATATACAGCAGCAAAACATACGTTACTAAAAAAAATAGTTAAAAATATTAGATTTATAATTACACATTGTGATAAAACTAATTAAATAAAAATTACTTTGTGTGTGATAAATTACAGTGCGTGATAATAACCAGTATCCATAATTATGTATATATATATATAACACTTTAGACTATATTATATTACATGTAAGAAATTATGCAAAATAACTAAAATCAACGCTTCTTTTACAACACATTTGCACGAGTATTCAACTGAAAAACCAATCAAGTCCAAGGGAGATGTAATAAGGTTATGTCGTAAAAAAATAGCTGAACAAAATAAGATTTCGCACAACGATCGAACGATAAATGACATTTTTTCCGATAACTATTATTATATATTACATAATTACCTTCTCCAGCAGATTCGCTATTTGATAGGAGACACTAGCCATGATTGCGGAGCTTTTTCACAGCCGGTTCGACGACGGTCAGTTCAACTCCGGTATGCTCCGATGGTTTAGAGCGCGTATTTGTAACGCAACGAAAAAAAGAAAGGAAAAACAAACGGATCCCGGTGGCACAATATGCAGCACCGAATCCGTGAAAAGTTGTACGAACCAAGATCTCAGCGCTTTTCTTTTTTACTGAAACTCCACTATCGGCAGCATCTCAATGTGATGCCGAAATTTTGACGGTAACCGACCGTGCGTTCCTAAAGTCGCCACGAGGAAGCCTGCTGCACCAATAAGCCACCAATAAACCGCATCGCAAATGTGCTCGAACGTGCTCGGATGTGTGTACGTACGCATGTGTATGCGTGCGTATATTTAGATCTCCGTGAAATATTAATGCTCGTTTAAGATGCATTCTTTGCTATTTTTAACGCGATTCATCGACCACAACAACTTTCGATATAGAAACTTGGAGTTGGAGGAATTATTTTATATCGTAATATATTTTGCCAAGCTCTATTATTATTCTGATTTCGCACATCACTTTCCAACTATTTTGGAACTTATGTATTTATAGCGAATGGAGTTATATAGTTATTGATATTTTTGAAATCAACCAAAAAATAAATTTCAAATTTGTCTCGCGCTAAATAATTCGAACATGATATAAAAATAAATATATATATTACATATTAAAAAATAGCTTTTTTAGCCCAGAACTGGGTGTTGGTTGTTCAATGAAGAAAAGTTAACAATTAGTTAATTCATACGTTTCGGCTCATTTTATTTGGTCATCTTCGGAAGACTTAGCTTCAACGGCCGAATTTCGTAACAAAATGTGAT